ATGGAAATGGAGATTATAATAAGGATCTATCTCATGAGATGCTCTGAGGATTAAATGCTCTTAGAACCATGTCTAGCACATAATAAGTGCTCAGTAAGTATTTATTATTATTGTTCTTGGAAATTTGTGCAGCAGTTAGGATTTTGCTGGGCTGCAAGTAACAGAATACTGGATTGTGTTCATTTCCTGTTGCTGCTATAACAAATTATCACAAATTTAGTGAGTAACAATAACACAAATTTATTATTTTATAGTTCTGAAGGTCACAAATCCAAAATAGGTCTCACTGGGATAAAATCAATCTTGATCTGGGACTTCCCAGCCTCAAGATTGTGAGAAAAGAAATTCTGTTGTTTAAGCCACGCAGTCTATGGTTTGTTATGGCATCCTCAACTGACTAATCCAGATTTGTTCCTTCTAGAGGTTCTAGGGGAGAATTTGTTTCCTTGCCTTGTTCAGTTTTTTTTTTTTTTTTGGCCATGCTCCATGGCATGGGGTCAAGGAACTTCCCTGACCAGGGATCAAACCCATGCCCCCTACATTGGGAGCACGGATTCTTAACCACTGGACCACCAGGGAAGTCCCACCTTATTCAATTTCTAGAGGCTATCTATATTTCTTGGCTTGTGTCTCCTTCCTCTGTCTTTAACCCAGCAGCACAGCATGTTCAAATCACTGCCTTGAACTTTTCTGCCTCCCTCTTCCACTTTTAAAGACCCCTGTGACATTTAGTCCACTGGGATAATCCAAAATAATCTTATTTTAAGGTCAGTTGGAACTTCCCTGGTGGTGCAGAGGTTAAGAATCCACCTGCCAATGCAGGGGACACAGGTTTGATCCCTGGTCTGGGAAGATTCCACATGCTGTGGGGCAACTAAGCCCGTGCGCCACAACTACTGAGCCTGTGCTCTAGATCCCACAAGCCACAACTACTGAGGCCGGGTGCCACAACTACCGAACCCGCTTGCTGCAACCACTGAAGCCTGTGCACCTAGAGCCCATGCTCCGCAACAAGAGAAGCCACCACAATGAGAAGCCTGCGCACCGCAACGAAGAGTAGCCCCCACTCACCACAACTAGAGAAAACCCGCGCGTAGCAAGGAAGACCCAATGCAGCCAAAGATAAAAATAAAATTAAAAAGTCCTGCCTTCAAATGTTGAAAAAAAAAAATCAGTTGATTAGCAACCTTAATCCCATATGCAACCTTAATTCCCTGCTGCCATGCAACATAGCACATTAACAAGTTCTTGGAATTAGAATGTGGACACCTTTGGCTACTTCAGCCATTATTTTGGCTACTCCATGGACTGACAATAGTTTGAACCTTAAGGATATTTGCTGTTTACTTAAGAAGTCTGGAAGTAGGAGGATCTAACATTGATTTAGCAGGTTAACTGCATTGTAAAGAACCTATACTATTTCTTCCTTACCTAGTTTGTTAGCTTTTCCTCTTCATATTTGTCACCTCATGGTCAAAAGATGATCGTTGCATTTCCAGGCATCAGCAACATATTCAAGACAGGAAAAAGAGGAGGGGGAAAAAGAGGCTGTCCATTTTCCTTTCCCATCTGCCCCTTTTATCAGAAAGCCAAAGATTGTCCCTAGAATCTCTCCAGCAATCTTGCTCTAAATGGGTCCTATGGCCATCTCTAGCTGCAAGAGGATCTGGAAGAGGGAGCATCTGGCACAGGAGAATGAAATCATACAGATTGGCTTAGACCATTCATGATACATTGATGGGGCCGGGCGCATTGCCTCCCCAAACAAAATCAGAGTTCTTTTAGAAAAAGAGAAGTGCAAGTGTGTGTGTGGGAGGGGTGGGGTGGAGAGGAGTTGTTGTCAAACAGGCAAATGACATTGGATATTAGAGTCTTGGAGGATTTTTCCCTTTAAAGAAATGTTCTCACTTGAGAAGCAATGCAGTGCATCTAGAAGCCTGATAAAGTACTTAGTTGTAGAATTTTATCTTTCTGTACCAAATTAGAGCAAGAAAACAAGACTATCTAAAGAAACATTTTAAAAACATAAACATGTAATTTATGATCTCTATAGAAAAGTTATACAGTCTTTTCAATATAAATTTTCTCATCCAATTGAACACATAGCTGATGGCTGAGACCAACGGGGCTGTAGTTCAATGAGGCTAAAAACTTGCTCCTTTTGGCATACCTATGATTTCTGTAACAGTGTCAATGTCAGTTCTATTTATGAAAACTATGCTTCATTGTCAGAACTTTAATTTGTTTCTGGTCTCTATTCAATTTTTCTAAAATAATAAAGGCAATCTATAATAAAATTTCCAAATAATTACATCAACAAACTGCAATGTACTGTCAATAATGGTGATGCTACTGAAACTGAAATGTTGGCTGGCAGATGATACCATGTTGAGAAGCCCTAAGTATTTGCCAGTCAATGTATGAAAGTTCAGTTGTGATGCATGCTCAGTATATTATTTACTTAATTCAATAAACATTTATTGTGTCAGGCACTGTTCTAGAAACTGAGATTTTAGTAGCAAAGAAAAACAAGAAGAGGTTCTGACTTTATGCTCTTTGCAGTCTGGTTAGAATAATCCAAGAAACACAAATGAAAGTTCAAGGTATTTTAAAATCTATCAGATCACCAATGGTGGGGCATTCTCATATGCTAAGTTGATACACTCTCTGAAGATAAATTTTTAAAAATTATTTATTTATTTATTTATTTATTTATTTTTGGCTGCGTTGGGTCTTCATTGCTGTGCGCAGGCTTTCTCTGGTTGCTGCGAGCGGGGGCTACTCTTCGTTGCAGTGCGTGGGCTTCTCATTACGGTGGCTTCTCTTGTTGCAGAGCACGGGCTCTAGGCGCGTGGGCTTCAGTAGTTGTGGCACATGGGCTCAGTAGTTGTGGCTCGCGGGCTCTAGAGCGCAGGCTCAGTAGTTGTGGCGCACAGGCTAAGTTGCTCCGTGGCATGTGGGATCTCCCCGGACCAGGGCTTGAACCCGTGTCCCCTGCATTGGTAGGCGGATTCTTAACCACTGCACCACGAGGGAAGCCCTGAAGATAAATTTAACTGTATGTGTAAGTTAAGATGTCTGTACACTTTGACCCAGGGATTTGGTTTTTGGCAATCTATTATAATTAAAGAATCAGAAATGCAGACCAAGATTTACAGTCAAAAAATTTGATCACTACATTATCTTTACAAGTGAAAAATTAGAAATAAATACTCAACAAAGGGGAAATAGTTAAATAATTTATAGCATATGCATGAGCCTATTGTAAATCTATTAAAATGATGTTTTTGAAGCATTTATACTCATGCTATACTGTTAAAAGGGTAAAAATTATGATTAAAAACTGAATATCTAAAATATTAATAATGTTATTGCTTGGAGGTCAGAAGGTGCAACCTTACTGAAGTTATTGAAGGGGGTCAAAAGGTACAAACTTACAGATGTAAAATAAATAAGTCCCAGGAATGTCATGTACAGCATGGTGGCTATAGTTAGCAATAATGTATTGCATATTTGAAAGCTGCTAAGAGAGTAGATCTTCAAAATTTCATCACACACAAAAAAACCCTTTTTTTGTAACTTTGTATGGTGATGGATTAACTAGGTAGTTAATGATTGTGGTAGATCATTTCCCAATATATAAAAATATCGGATCAGTATGTTGTACACCTGAAAGTAATACATCAATTATACCTAAAAAAAAAAAGGCAGAAAAACGTAGGCATTTGGCAAGAAAGTTAAGCAAAACACTTGTTTAATAAATTAAACACAAAGAAAAGAAAAAGAAACCTGTAGGCCTGGGAGCTGCCTAGTGGGCTGGTGCCAGGTGTGGCCGCCAGCAAGGCGTCCCACTGTTATTTATCTTAATGTTGAGAACAAGAAATACATGTTAGGATAGGTTAATTTCTTTTAGATTTAAACAAAGCACCTTCTAATTTGCTGAATATTTTAAAAGTTCTATAACTTTGGGAGGGAAGAATCCCTCCATGCCTATGACAAAACCCATGCTTTCTAGTAAAGCAAAGGAAACACTGAGAATGTTTAACAGAATTTCTCTCTGTAGGGCATGAGAATACAGGAGATCCCCTCCCCACCCTGCTTTTCTATATTTTACAGGTTTTCAGTAAAGAGAAAGTGTTATTCTTATAATGAAAAGCTTTATTTTAACAAATCTATATCATGAGTTAAAAAGTCTCCATCTGCAGATTTATAAAATAACACAAAATTAAAGCATGAGGCTCCTTTGATTATGTTAAGTCCAAAAAAAAAAGTTATTGCTGATTTACATGGTTATGAGTCACTTTTTGATTTTCCAAGTTTTTCTTATAATGGGCATTGTAAAAAAATATAAATTTATTTATTTTTGGCTGCGTTGGGTCTTTGTTGCTGCGTGTGGGCTTTCTCCAGCTGCGGTGAGCGGGGGCTACTATTCTTTGCAGTGCGTGGGTTTCTCTTCATGCAGAGCACAGGCTCCAGGTGCACGGGCCTCAGTAGTTGTGGCTCATGGGCTCCAGAGTGCAGGCTCAGTAGTTGTAGCACACGGGCTTAGTTGCTCCGCAGCATGTGGGATCTTCCTGGACCAGGGCTTGAACCTGTGTCCCCTGCATTGGCAGGAGGATTCTCAACCACAGCGCCACTAAGGAAGCGATAATGGGCATATTTTTTATAATTAGAAAAAATGCATTATTTTAAAAGGGCAGTAATATTCATTGGGAAACTATAAACAACATATATGCCCCTTGAAAGTTTCATGCACTTCATTAAAAGCATAGCCTAATGTAGTTTTGGCTACTCTAGGAATATGATTATGTTGTTAAGTATATGTACACTATGAAAAAAATATTAATCCAGTAATTTAAAACAAATTCAATTTAGAGGCTTAAAATCAGAAGATCACTTTAAATGTAGGTGTGTTAGAATAATTGCTTGACTTTGTACCTGGAAAATGCTAGTTGCTTCTGTACATCAAGTAAAACATTAACTTTTTGATTTTTTGCAGCAACAAGCATGAAAGCAGGCTACCAGCAATTTTGAGAGCTTGCAGAAACAGATTGCAAGGAAAATGAAGTTCCCTATTTTCATAGCAGATGCATTCACAGCAAAAGCATTTCGTGGGAATCCTGCTGCTGTTTGCCTCCTAGAAAATGTAAGTAGTATTTTGTTTTGAAGTGCAGTGCCTCAAATCCTAGATTCCTGTAGAACCAAGTATTTCCTAAAAAAAAAAAAAAAAAAAATCAGACCCACCTATTTGTGTACCTCTCTGGTTTGTGTTCTTTGTCAAATGATATCAGCAATGTTCATGTCTGCAAGTTGATATTGACCACATCTTATGATGAGACCGCTTACACCTAGATGTAGGTGTAAGAGAAATGAAGATTCATGTAAAGAAGAACTAGAGCCAATTAAAAAAAAAGTGTGTGGGGGATTTCCCTGGTGGTTTGGTAGTTGAGACCCCCCCCTCCGCCCCCGCCCAAAAAAAAAAGAACTCGAGCTCCTTGTAGCCTCTGTGTTTTCATTTAGTTAGCACCAAATGGGGAGGAGAATGAAATTAGATGAGTTTTATGTGACTGGACATGGCTGATACATTTAGCTTAAAAGATTCTAGCTGGATATTTTTAACCTTACCTATAGTTCAGACAATTAGAAATTCTTTTCAGGACCAAAGAGGAGACATTTTGCAAGGACTTCAGTAATGTAGTAGATAGAAGGAATTAAGCTCTAACATAGACAGAACTCAGCTTACTGAAAGTCTCATTTTAAAAATGGCTCTTTGATTGGATAAGTTTTAACAGAATAGTCAAAGTTTCTTTGACCTTAGATGCTTTGTGTTGTTACCTGGGTGTTAGGAAACAAGCCAAGGTACGCTTCTACTCAGAGCAGTTAGTACAAGAGTAGATTTTCTGAAAATTACTTCAGGAACACAGTAAACAGCTGATGATCATAAAGGGCAGGAATAGAAAGGCAGAGGTGGAGAACACGGTGGGGAGTGGGGGGAAGGGGAGGGTGGGATGAATTGGGAGATGAAGTGTGACATAAATACACTACCATGAGTAAAATAGATAGCTAGTGGGAACCTGCTGTATAGCACAAGGAGCTCAGCTCTGTGCTCTGTGATGACCTAGATGGGTGGGATGTGGGGTGGGGGAGGTCAAAGAGGGAGGGCATATATGTATACCTATACCTGGTTCACTTCACTGTACAGCAGAAACTAACACAACATTGTAAAGCAGTTATACTCCAATAAAAAAATAACACATTAAAAAAAGTCTTATTAAGTTGGGCCTTTGAGTGCAAACATCGAGCTGGCTGCAGATTAAAATCACCTGAGGTGCTTTAAAAATTCCTATGCCCAACCAATCACAATAGAATCTCTGGGGGTGGGACCCAAGCAGCACTGTTTTTTAAAGCTCCCCGGGTGATTCTAGTGTAAATCAAGATGGAGAATGGCTGAGGTTTTACTGAGACAGGCGAATATTGTTAATTGAGTCTTTGGTATACTTATTTTCTCCGTCAAATGGAGCAGCAAAATGGTGATCAAGAGTCCTCATCTTACCTTGGGCTTCCCTGGTAGCGCAGTGGTTAAGAATCTGCCTGCCAATGCGGGGACACCGGTTTGAGCCCTGCTCCGGGAAGATCCCACGTGCCATGGAGCAACTAAGCCCCATGCGCCACAGCTACTGAGCCTGCGCTCTAGAGCCCACCTACCACAACTACTGAGCTCACACGCCACAACTACCGAAGCCCCCGCGCCTAGAACCCATGCACCGCAACGAGAAGACCCCACAAGAAGCCCACACACCGCAAAGAAGAGTAGCCCCCACTCACTGCAACTAGAGAAAGCCCGCCCTTAGCAACGAAGACCCAACGCAGCCAAAAATAAGTAAATAAATAAAACAAAACAAAACAAAGAGTCCTCATCTTACTTTGATGATGCATTCATCATGCAACCTTGCAGTTGGCATTTTCCAGCCACAAAGTGCAGAAAGTAATAAAGTTAATAGGCTTTGTCAAGTAACACAAGAGCTTAGGAGCATTAGTGAGAGAATAACAGCCGGATTCTAAAACGTGAACTTTGTTTAGAAACAATATGGCAAACATAGCTTCACGTCAAGGACTTGTGAAATTGACTAAATCTGCTTGTCAAGAGTTTTAATATAGGTGCTTCCCTGGTGGCTCAGTGGTTAAGAATCCGCCTGCCAATGCAGGGGACACAGGTTCGAGCCCTGGTCTGGGAAGATCCCACATGCCACGGAGCAACTAAGCCCGTGTGCCACAACTACTGAGCCTGCACTCTGGAGCCCATGAGCCACAACTACTGAAGCCCGTGCACCTGGAGCCTGTGCTCTGCAACAAGAGAAGCCACGGCAATGAGAAGCCCGAGCACCGCAACGAAGAACAGCCCCCGCTTGCCGCAACTAGAGAAAGCCCCCAGTTGAAAATCATTGTTTCAGAAGATACCTTCTCTAAAGAGAGGCTTATTCTGGAGTTTTCCTGTTTAAATTATCCGTAAAAACAACTTCGTTGTGTGCCCAGTATATTTATTTATCCCGATTCAGCTGGCCTTTACTGGCTGTCTACCGTAAGCTGGACACTGTGCTAGGATCAAATGTAATATTCATATATGTGTGTTTCTATTCTTTTAAATATTACTAATCATTTCCAGTGACAGCAAGGAGGATCAGCTTCACACTTTTTTTTTTAAAGTTTTTATTGAGTCTGTTACAATATTGCTTCTGTTTTGTTTTGGTTTTCGGGCCCTGAGGCATGTGGGAATCTTAGCTCCCCAACCAGGGATCGAACCCTCACCCCCTGCTTTGGAAGGTGACCTCTTAACCACTGGACCGCCAGGGGTCCCTGGCTTCACACTTTTAAAAAGGAATGCTTAGTTTTAGTTCCTAAAGTACTTGCTGTTCTGGTTTTTCTGGTTAAATTTAGGGACGCCCAAAAGCCCCTTTTACAGCTTGGTGGGTTATATATTTAAAGAAAAACAGGTGTATGGCAATGCTGTGTTCAATCCATGCTTTAACTCATGTGCAGTGGCCATTTCCAAACTTGCTGCCCTTCCTTAGAGAGAGGATCACTGGCTCAGTGTGACCACACTGGGTCAGAGGCTCCTGGGGTTTCTAGAGGGTTACAACCTCATATCTCATTTTTATGCCCAGAAAAATGATGCGAAGTGCAGAGAAGATTCTTCTAGGACATTGAAGTGTTTTCCTTTGCTGAGTATTTGAGGGAAGAGAGCAACGCAAAGGAAGAGGAAATGTTAATGTGGGAATTGCTGCTTCCCAAGTATCCTCACTGGCTTCTAGAACATAACTCTCAGCTTTGAGGGCAGTGACTTCAGGCAAGTTCAGCCAGATACATACTGTGCTAATTTCTTTTCATATATTATTTCATTTCACCCTCACAACCACTCTATGAGTAGGTCTTATTATTATTATCCCCATTTTACAGATGAGAAAATGGAGGCAGAAGAAGGTTAAATGGCTGACTTCAGTATCCCACCGCAGGTCTGCCTGACTGCAGGACCCATGCTTTTAACCCGCTGTACTCAATACTAGACTAGATATCCTCTTTTATGTGCTCCCACGGCACCCTTTCCCAGTTGATAACATGCATCACTCTTGTTGTAATTCATTCAGTGCCTGTCTCTCTCACTACTGTACATTCCATGAGATCTTAATCTATTCTGACTTGTTCCAACACACAAGGCCTAGCACATGGGAGGCACTAAATAGATACCTGTTGAGTGAAAGTGATAATATTATAATCAGTGATATTATGGCAAAATCTCCTTCTAAGAGTTCTAGTTAGCCAACAGTTTTTCATCTTTTGTTCTCATTGGTAGGATGGGGTGGGCAGGGTATGCAAAGTGAGTATGTTCTTTGGGTTCTGTGATGGAGCTGGAGAGACTAAGCATCCATAAGATCCATTAGAAGCAACTGAAGATGGCCTGAAGTTTGAGTGCTGCATTGTATGGACATAACTTTACAATCGGAAATCCAAGTGCCTCGAAAGGAATCTCCCATTCCTAGATGATTTAGAACTTTCTACATCCAAGTGCTTTTCCATTGCTGGAAGGAAAGCAGAGGGACAAAGGAACAGAGCAGGACTGTCCTGTTTAGGCTGTCATACTTCTAAACTGCCACAAGGTGGGAGTATTTTAAAACTTTACTCTGATTTTCTGATCATTACTCTTTTGTGGGCCATATAGTGATGGAACCTCAGTGTCCCAACGCAGTACATTGGAAGGCAGAAAAACAAACATGGCTCTAATTTTGCTGCTGGAAGCTTGAGTCATGGGAAATTGGCAAAAGGAAATGGATATTAAAGCAAGAGAACTAACAGTTATCGGTTTGGTTTGAAACTATTATGTTACATTTAAAAATAAGCTTGTAGTGTAAAATGGAAACATTATTGGAACCAAAATTCAGTATTTTGAATGAATGTAGTCTCATTCTTTTTTTCCTGAAGCTCTCCAAGTTGAAGCAATATTAATCTTCTCATGATTCACCATTATTTTGATCTTTGGTTCCAGTGTAGAAATTCAGCCACATGTGGTGCACATTGAGGGCTGCTGCTATCATACTTTCTACATTGTCTCTGGCCCCTCAGGCAAATAGCAGGTGCATTTTCAGTGTTCTGGGGCAGAAATTGCACTTATAGAAATTCAAATTGTAATTGGTGAAATATACCAAAGCAGAGAAGATTAAAGAGTTGATGGTCTGTGAAGTGTGTGTTTTAGCTGATGTGCAAAAAAGCCCATTTGCAAAGGAATCTATTACCAATAGATGGTGAGCTTGGCTACAATGTGAAATGCTTTAATACTTTTAGAGGCTCTGGTCCTAAAGATCACGGGAAGCAATAGGCAAAGAAAGGAAGGACAAGGATAGGGAGTTTGGCCAGATCAGATACAGGAGGGACTGGCAGGCACTGCAGGTTCCTTTAGTCAAGGAGGCAAATCCAGGCTTTTCTTCATCAACCCTTCAATCACCTTTGAGGCCTGTGACTGCAGACTCAGCACTGGGGAATTAAATGGCTCTGAGTTTCTCTCAGGTGTTACATGCACGGGCAGGTGGGCCAGTTTCCATGGAGAACATTCGACAGGCCACTGCGAAGCGCTTGAGTTCACTTCTGAACATTGTTGCCTTGTTGGCCTCAGCGGCACCCAACCCCCTCCTCTACTCAGGTGGGACTTCTCACTCCCCAGGCCCACAGGTGCCCAGAGGTGTGACATGTGCTCATTCCACTTCATTCCTACCATCCTAATTCTCCTTACCTTAGCTTACAGAATCCTAGAGTGTCAAAGATTTAACAGAAGGAGAAAGAAGTGAGGTCAAGTGATTTGCCCAAGAAGCATCCCCAATACAAAGCTTTTTGCCCACATTTTCCTGTTCAACTCAACAAAATCTTCCCTTTTTCGAGGTCCACATCAAGTCCTCACTGTTAAAGTCCTAGAGTACTTAATGTCAAAATCCATTGCTGATTTCTGTATCTATCTTGACTCCTCAACTGAGAGGCTCAGGCCCTTGACCAGAGGACCATACCTTACACACCAGGGCTCCCCAGACTTTAATGTGCTCACAGATCACCTGGTTTCTGGTTAAGATGGAGATTCTGATCCAGAAGGTCTGGGGCAGGGCCTGAGACTCTCCATTTCTAACACATTCCCTTGGGAATGGTGCTGATGCTGGTGGCCTAGCGTGGCACTCAGTGATTGATTCTGCTTGCAGGAGTCCATTTTATCTGATAGACATTGGTTTTCTTGCCTGCAGCCTGTTAAAGGGATAATAATAATTTCCTTGTTATGGGGAGGCAGTGCGGCGTGGCAGGCTAAAGCACTGGCTTTGAACCACTCAAAAAGGTAACGTTTATCAAGTACTTACTATGCATCAGGCACTGTGATGAGCACTTTATATGCATTATTGGATTAAATCTTTTGAAAGAAAAACATTAAGTAAAAAACAAACAGAAAAACTCATTGTGTTATTTTTTTCAGAAAATAAGTATCTATTTCTTAAGTGATTTCTCTTTCTGTAGGACTACAGAGCCTCTACAGATTTTTAATACAGAGCTCCTTTAAGAAAAGCTTAGTAAGTCCCCTGTTAGGATTTTTACACCAGCTGATATTTTTAAAATCATGACTGATTTTTCACAACTGCTGTTTTATGCCTTTTTTTCCAATACAGAAACTTTAATAGGTAAACATATCTGTAATGTTATATGAGTATACGGAAAGTGTTTCAAAAGAATTTGAATCAACTAAAAGACAAGGGTGTTTAACTTGCATAACTCAGATAAGTGAATTATGAATTTATTAGAATAAAGTATAATTCTTATTTCTGAGTTTCAGGAGCTCAAGAATAGTAAGTTTTGCCAAAGCAAAAATACATTTGTCTTGAGATTTCTTTTTTTTTAAATAAATTTTTATTGGAGTATAGTTAATGTCTTGAGATTTCTTTAGAATTCAAAATCTAAGTAGTGATCATTTTGTTGATTAAAAAATTGCTTTTCATTCTCAAAGAGAAAATTCATGCTTCAGCCCATTTTTTCCCTTGAGTTAAGAGGAATGTGTGTATGTGTGTGTATGCATGTATATGCATGTATGTGTCTTCACAATAACCCTTCGACCTAAGTACTATTATTCCCACTTTAAAGGCATAGAAGCTGAGGCTCCAGGAGGTGAAATGACTTGCCCACTCTTGCACTGTTTCTAGGAGCTGACCCTAGATACAATCCAATTATGTCTGTTTCCAAAGCCTCCTTTAAAAAAATTGTTTTATTTTGAAAAATTTAAAAACTTAAGAAAAATTTCAAGAATGAACATCTACATACTTTTCCTCTAGATTCACTGGTTCTTACCATTTGCAAAGCCCACATTCTTAATCACTCTACCATTTATTAGACGTATTGTGTTTTTAGGATATTACACAAACTTTCTGTGTTTAATTTGTTTATCTGTAAGTGGATAAAAATATCTATATTGAGGGTTTTTAAAATGAAGGTTAACTGGATAATTATTCTCTTAGCAAATATTTATTGACCTCCTTCCATCCCAGGATGAATAAAAGCATTGTTCTAAATCAGGACAAAGCAAAGTAGCACAGTTGGTGCTCTCATAGAGCCAGAGTCAGAGGTGGGGGGAACAGACATTAAAAGGACATAGCAAGTAATTTCAGGTGGTCTATGCACTGGGGAAGAGACAGAGCAGTCTGGAAGGCTTTCTGGAGGAGGTGACCTCTGGCCTGAGGCCTGACTCATGAAAGGGAGTGAACTGTGCATAAATGGGGGCAGAGTGGTCCAGCCTGCTCAGAGTGGGCACCTGACATCCCTTCATCCAACAGGAAAGAGAGATTGTGGAGTTTCCATTTGCAGAAATTATTTTTAGAAGAGAACACATGCTCTCAGATAGACTAGATAATAATCTGACAAAGGATAGCCCAGGCTGGTAGGTTTTCAGAATCTGTTCTAGCTTTTAACCTCCACAGCTCTTCACATGGTTGCATGCATGGATTTCTGAAAAACCATCTTTATAAAAGTGCCTTGAATTCCTTGGCGATTATTTCCTTTTAGGCATATAACTTTTAATATTAATAAACTGTTATTTACTAGTGGCAGTTGCTGTCCAAGGAAGTCAGATTTTTGTTTCTGGAGTCTCAATAACCTTTTGTTTCTAATTTAGAAATTGGATGAAGACATGCACCAAAAAATTGCAAAGGAAATGAATCTCTCTGAAACTGCTTTTATCCAAAAACTACACCCAACTGACAACTTTACACAAAGTAAATACGCTTTTTTTTTTTTTTTAACCATTCCTGAATGGCACAAGAAACTGCTTTTCCAGTGGGGGAATGATAGTTAAGGGAAATGTCCATTTACTATTTGCATGCAGATAGGAGGGAGAGGGGGAGCTTCTAATCTGGTTTTCATTTCATCTGGGGGAGCAGGTATTGGTGAATTTGAGTGTTTCAGCTCCAGATCTAGCACTGGGGGGCCCTAGGAGGCTTGCCTAGACTTTGCTCCTCCTTTCACAACATGTTTCAATGATGAATCATGCTAATGAAATATTTAGAGAAGAATAAGAAAATGAAAAGTTTACGACCCCCTTGTATGGGAATGATCTCATCTCTCTTTGGTTTTTTCTCCTCTGAAGGTTCCTGCTTTGGATTAAGGTGGTTTACACCAGTGAGTGAGGTTCCTCTCTGTGGCCACGCTACCCTGGCTTCTGCAGCTGTGCTGTTTCACAAAATAAGTAACGTGATTTTCTTTTATGAACTTACCATTTAGCAAATAGCAAATATTTTTAAAAACTCTCACACATTCTTTCCTGTGAACCAAAGTGACTGGTATAAAGACACTGCAAAGTTTATTTCATGCGATTTATTATGCAGAAACAAAAACAGCAAGCTTCTGTAACACTTTGATCTTTCAGAGTATGTACTATGCATGTTGGAAAGCCATGGTCATTGTTTCCTGGAATGCCATTTTCTTCTAAATAGGAGCTCTCTGGTCTCTGTGACAAACACAGGAGCAGAGCTTGAATGCAGAATAGTTGTCTAACATGATATGATACTGGGGAACCAAAAGACATAACTTTGCCCCGAATATGTCCCCACCCACATTGAAATTCATTTCACAATAAGAACTTATTTACTCTGAATTTTAAATATTAATGAGCCCCAGCTGTATACATTTACCCTGTGAAGAGAGGATGCAGCACCTTAATCCTACCTGTTTCCACCTCAGCTACACTTAGTATAATAGATAAAGATCAGGGCTTTGTGGGAATGGGGCAGAGAGCTGCCTGGAAATGTCCTAAAAGTGGAGATGGAAGCAGCCATGAATACGTGTAGACCACAAACAGAAAGTTAAACAAGGAAATAAACAGGATGATACGACAGAGGGGTAACTGTGGGGAGGAGGGTGTTGGAAAAAGAAGTTCCCTGGGGGAGCAACTTAGGTGGGGATGATAAGGGAAGGTGTTAATAGGTCAGGTTTGCCCAGAAAGCAGACTCTGAGACACACTGGCATGCCAGAAGAATTGGGGGCAGTGTTCTTGAGATCAGTATTGTTAAGGGAGTAAAGAAAGCAGAATTGAACACAGGGAGAAGTTGAACTGCAAAGTGGTAGCACCAAAGAAAGGCCTGTTAGTCCTCCACAGGGTGGGCCTAAGCTTCCATGAGAAAATGCTTGGTAAATAATGATGTCTTACACCAATTATAATGAGAAGAATTAAACTTTGGGTTTCAGAATGTAAATTTTATTCTGTGAAAGTTAATCAGCGGTGCTGAATTTTCTCACCTTTGAGATATGGTTAAGTATTACAGAAATATTAGGGAAGAGAAAAGAATTAAGTCACAAATCTTTGTTTTCACTAAAAATGTTACCCACACTGAGATAAGTGGCCCAAGTTGTATCAGTAACATGAAGAGATATCAGGTTTGGTGATCTAATCTTTAAATCAAGGTTTTATGCATAGTTTGGTTTGTTTATGGTAAGCTTGATTTGTTCATCTCAGACTGTTGTACATGACCTGTATGTTCTATTTGTCATCCCTTTGACTTATCTTAAACTAGTAGAGTTTATAACTCTATAGTATTATAGGGGGATAGTTAAAAATCTGCATTAGAAAACATTATAGCATCCCTATGAGCTATGTTTAATTATTACCCCCAATTTATTGGTAAAATGAAATTAGTATAGTTTTAATTATTACCCCATTTTATTAATGAGGAAATTGAGGTTTAAGGAGATTAAATAATTTTTTCAAGGGCACAGCATGATGTCAAGTCCAATCAGTTATGTTCTTGGTTCTCAAGTTAGAATCCAGTGAGAGTTTTCTCCACGTAGGACCCAAGTAACCCAAACCTGGGACCCCTTTACTGGAAAGAACAACACTGCCAGAGAATCTAAGACTACATAACAGTGATCAAAACAGACATGCAACTATATAACAATGTTTATTTTCCTATTTCTTGATTCCTTTCAAAAAGTTTTCTAGTTGACAAAATAGAATTCTTTTTTTGGCCAGAAAACATGAATAGCACCCTAACCTTTGTCACTCTGAGTGGGGAACTAGAGGCCAGAAGAGAAGAGGATGGTATCGTCCTGGACCTGCCTCTTTATCCAGCCCATCCCCAGGTCAGCTCTTTTTAATTTTTTTTTTCTTTTGGCTGCCCTGCACGGCTTATGGGATCTTAGGTCCCTGACCAGGGATTGAACCAGGCCCTCGGCAGTGAGAGCATGGAGTCCTAACCACTGGACCGCCAGGGAATTCCCAGCTCTTTTTAATTATTGCCATAAACTGACAGCTTTCCTGTTTTACAGTAGTTTTGTCTTTTTTCCCAATCTAGGACTTCCATGAAGTGGAGGAATTGATAAAGGTTGGTGAAAAGAATCAAACCTGAGCCGTGTGATATGATCATCTGTTATCATTTGAACAAAGATTCGGTACTGTTTGATCTCAACAGATAGGCCTTCTACCAGTACAAGTGTTCCATTCTAAGCTTGGTTGAATACTGCACTGTGCATTTGAGATTTGAATTTTAATATTGAATCTAGGGACTTCCCTGGTGGTCCAATGGTAAAGAATCCACCTTACAATGCAGGGGATGGGTGTTTGATCCCTGGTTAGGGAACAAAGACCCCACATGCCTCGGGGCAACTAAGCCCGTGCCGCCTCAACGATAGAGCCGTGGTGCGCAAACTACAGACCCCGAGAGCCACAACTAGAGAGAGAAAACCCACACGCCACAACTGGAGAGAAGCTCGTGTGCCACAACTAGAGAGAAGTGCTTGCGCTGCAACAAAGACCCTACACAGCCAGAAAAAAAAAAAAAGAAAAATAATATTGAATCCATTTAGTGAGAAGGTTGACCAGTTTTCCCTGACTCTTCATTATCCGATTAGCCTCCATGGAATGGTGGGGGAGGGGAGACTGTCGTGTGGCAGGCTGAGAGTGAAAGGAAAGAGTGGAAACTGCCTGGCAGCTGTCGGTGTCCTGATGTCTTTAGTGGAGAATACGCCTGAGATGACAGGGCTGTGCTTTGATGGAAGAGAGCAGGAAAGCATGGGAACCTTGATAGATAAGACAAGATCCATAGACTGGCCTCCTCAAGGGGTCTGTGTGGGAATGGGGCTTGATGATGATGACGATGATGACAATGAATATTTTTGAAAGTCTCCCCTGTGCAGTGCCACGCACTAAGTGTTTTTTTTGTGTGTGTGTGTGTGTGGTACGCGGGCCTCTCACTGCCGTGGCCTCTCCCATTGCGGAGCACAGGCTCCGAACGCGCAGGCTCAGTGGCCATGGCTCACGGGCCCAGCTGCTCCGCGGCATGTGGGATCTTCCCGGCCCGCGGCACGAACCCGCGTCCCCTGCATCGGCAGGCAGACTCTCAACCACTGCACCACCAGGGAAGCCCTAAGTGTTTTTAATGTATTATCTCATTTAATTCTCACTGCCACCCAGTGCAGCAGGCACTACAGTTGTCTCCCAGAGATTCCAGAAGGCCAGAGCAGCCCTGGATGGCCAGGTGCTTAGTTTGTGGAGCAGGAAGGGCCCAGGTCAGGACCAGGCCAAGGGCAGCCATGAGAAAAAAATGATTCTGTAAAATGGCGTATTATGGTATTTCTCAGTGAATTTTCAACTCAGGATTTATAATCTCTTTAGTGTTTTGCTTTAAGTTTTCAGAGTATAAGCAAGTATCATGGATTCTGATTTTACACTCAGCTCTACCTATGGCTTGAGTTTTGGGACACAAGCCGAATTCATAAATGAACTACTTTAAACATATTGGCAAGAAAATGGAAAATATTCACAGTGCTAGACCTTGTTCTAAGCCTCAGGGTCGGCATTTGTAAAATGAGGATGATGAAGGGTTATTTATTGTGAGTATTGTCATTTTGTGTTCCTAGAAACTGGCAATAAGATTCTCAGCTGAGAATTAAACTTTCAAATTGACATAAGAATCCATGCAGAGAATGACCCTTCAGAGAGACTGAGAGGCCCCAGAGAGCAGATGTGATCGGGCTGTAGGCGTTCCCATTTCTGGGGGGGGGTCGGGAACGTTGGTCAGCAGTGGTCACAGAGGCAGACATTCCAGGCATCACCCATGGCAGAGGGAGTCTTGGCGATAGGACCTAGAACACCTCAGTCCCTAAAGAAGATTAGAGAACCTGAAGCCACCTAGTGACAACCAGACAACTACTGTGTAACTCTTGTCTGTTCTGAAGGCAGCTGGTGGTGGTGCCACAGGATGACTCGGAGGGGCACAAGACACAGTGCCTTGGATATGAGTGAGGCTGTGTGCAGCCCAGTAAAGGGTGAATCAGGGTATCTCTAGAAAATGTTGAAAATGTTGCTACGTTCTTGATCTGTAGCATACAGTCTACGTGAGAACAGCGAGCTTGCCAAGCAGAGCAGCCTTGAGACAAGTGCCCTAGTCCCACTTCCAGTCAGACTGCTGGCCCTGAGTCCTTCCCATGTGGAAGCTTCTAGTTACTGCTGCAGGAACTCCACATATTATTTCACTTAATCCTCACAACAACTCCAAGAGGCAGGCATGAAGCCCGCACCTCTACAGATAGTAGACAGTAGTAATTCAGAGCTTTGACTCCAGGGCCCCTCAGACCTGGGTCAAGGTGTGTGTGTGTGACCTTGGGCCTCTCTGAATCTTCTTATCTATGGGGAAAATACCCACCTGAAGGAGTTGTGTGTTGAGGCACGTAGTAACATGTGTGAACAATGCCTATCTCTGGCTAAACTCAGAGGGTAAACTCAACCCTCATCAAGGTCTCTGGCTGCCAGGAAACTGGCCTTCTTCAGCAATACCTTGAGTCCCGAAACTGACCTGAAACTCCTGGGATTGGAGATGTTGGGTGTGCCTGGCACAGAGCAGATGCTCGTGAGAGGTTGCTCTCCAAACATGGGTCAAATTCATAAATTCCTGAGGAGGTTTTGGTCTGTCTCCATAGACTGCCATAGGTGACACACTGGTTCAGGACATCCGCTATTCCCCAGATACCCGAAAGCTCCTGGTCCGGCTCAGTGATACTTACAACAGGTAAACAAGATTTTTGGCTTCGTCAGCACCCTGGGGATGGCCGAGCACCCAGATTTATGGCTCTGGCTTGGTCTGGCTGTGCCATGTTCTGTCAAACCATGATTTACACAGCCAGAAAGTTTTGTTCCCCTCCTGGTGAGCCATTTGGCAAGCTGCATCCTGGCCTGCTTTACAGAGTGTGGGTAGTGGGTAGTCTATTGAATGGCTTTGTCCTGATCCACCCCGTTTCTGAACAAGGTCGTTTCTGGAGAGCCTGAAAGTGAACACACAGAATCTGCCGCAAGTGGAAAACACGGAGAAGGTGAAAGGACTCATTCTCACCATCAAGGGAGAGCCTGATGGGCAGACTCAAGCGTTTGACTTTTACTCCAGATATTTCACTCCATGGTTTGGTGTGGCCGAAGACCCCGTAACAGGTACTTTTTGACTTGCGTCCTGAAGAGGGCTAAACAGTGGAGAGGGAGGAGGATAACAAGTAGCTGTTGCTGTGCCCTCCCTGTGACCTTTCAGGTTGTTTGGTTTTTGAGCTGCCTTTGTTTCCCTACCTCCCCCTCCCCCACCCCTTCACTGAAGTCTCCTGTGAAAAACACAGAGTTAAGGAGGCAGCATAGCAGGGTTAAACTAGGGTCAGACAGCCTGGGTTTGCATCCTAGCTTCCTAGCCGTTGACCTTGGGCAAATGACTTAACATTTTTTTTTAGATTCTTTTTTGATGTGGACCATTCTTTTTTTGGACCATCCTTTAAAAAGCCTTTATTGAATTTGTTACAATATTGCTTCGATTTTTATGTTTTGGAGTTTGTTTTTTTTTTTTTGGCCGCGAGGCCTGTGGGATCTTAGCTCCTCGACCAGGGATTGAACCCACACCCCCTGCACTGGAAGGCGAAGTCTGAACCACTGGACCAGCAGGGAAGTTCCTGACTTAACTTTTTAAAGCTTTTGTTCCCTGGCTATAAAATATGGATAATACCTCATAGGTTATGTAAACACAACGCATGTTAAGTGCTCAACACAGTGCCTGGCACATGGTAAGTGCCCAATAGCTATTAGGTATTTTAATAATAACAACAGGGCTTCCCTGGTGGCGCAGTGGTTGAGAGTCCGCCTGCCGATGCAGGGGACACGGGTTCGTGCCCCGGTGCGGGAAGATTCCACATGCCGCGGAGTGGCTGGGCCCATGAGCCATGGCCGCTGAGCCTGCGTGTCTGGAGCCTGTGCTCTGCAATGGGAGAGACCACAACAGTGAGAGGCCCGCATACCGCAAAAAAAAAAAAAAAAAAAAACAAAAAACTGGCTCCCTGAGCCAACACTTCTAGAGCTGCCATTTGCAAAATCTAGTGGCCAATGTCCACTACATTCCCAAAGCCTTTTTTCCTTTTCAGTGACCAGCCTGCACGATCATTGATCTAGATAAGATTTGGTTTTTGAAGGATCAAGCCCTGGACTGCTGGTGGGAAATTGGGACAGGCATAGTGGTTTTGTTTTTTCCTCCCTTCCTCATTTCCCTGACCTGCCCACAAAGTGGGTGGGATGGATTCAGGAACGTGGGTATTCAGGATCTTCTACCAGACAGAAGCAGAGGGATGAAATCAAAGATGGGCAAAAATGTGAAGCCTCGTACTTTCATCCTCCTTGAGAAGAATGGGCTGAGCCACAAAACGGGGGATGCTGGATGGAGGAGGCTGGTGGATGGGATAGTGGCCAGGGTAAAAGGAAGCTGAGTAGAGACGGTGAGCCTCCTGTTCTGGTCAGATGGCAGGGGGCTGGGATGGTTTCAGTGCCTTGACTTAGTTACTCTGAGGAACAAAATATGTGAAATTCAAAGCTCAGCAAGCAAGCGCTTTTAAAGACTCAGGAAAATGCCCAGCGACTGTTGGTCCAACTCAACCCTCCCCAATAGAAAAGAAGTTCTGAGTGGACTTACAGTTGCACAGCTGCTTCCCAAAGATTTTAATTACCACAGAGGGCAAGTTTTTCCCCCTGTAATAATGCTTTTCTAGAGTGGGAAGGGCAGCGATGCCCAACCATTTCAGTTTGCTTGAGACTGAGGGACTTCTCAGCATACAGGATCTTCAGTTCTAAAACCAGGACAGTCTCAGGCATACTGGGATGCTTGGGCACCCTATCTGGACCCATAACATTAGTAAGTTTTCCTGAAGGAGAGACCTTTTCCAAACCATCCTTTTTTCTCCCAAAGACTTTTCTGTCAGTTATTACTTTACATTTTGTTTCTTCATTTTATTTAATTTAATTTATTTATTTATTTTTTTGCGGTACGCGGGCCTCTCACTGTTGTGGCCGCTCCCGTTGCGGAGCACAGACTGCGGACACGCAGGCTCAACGGCCATGGCTCACGGGCCCAGCCGCTCCGCGGCATGTGGGATCTTCCCGGACCGGGGCACGAACCCGTGTCCCCTGCGTTGGCAGGCAGACTCTCAACCACTGCACCACCAGGGAAGCCCTGTTTCTTCATTTTAATATCTATTCTCTGATCTAAACCTAGGGCACAATCATATGAAAAAATACCCCACTAAAAGAAAGTTCTGGCACCGAAAACCTGTGAATGCTGAGTTGGTGGGAAATACAGCCTTTTGTCAGAGTTCCCACCTTTTCTTTCATGTGTGTCCTAAGAAGAAGGAGATATTTTTCCCTTGAAAGATGTAGACAGATTTATGTGAAGACCTTGATTCTACCATGGGCTGACAATGAACTGGTAGACAAGACAAGAATTAAAACCTACAGTTTAATTCAGCCTTCAGAAAGTATAAGACACAGCAGATACATCGTTTAGAGGAGTTATCCGTAAATTCTATGTCTTCCTTTCTATTTCCATCCTTAATTCCACACTTGGCTGTGGCCACGGCCAACATAATGACTACGTCATCTAAGGTTTAGTCAAACTGGATAGTCGACTGTTTATGAACTTAGTGCAGAGTTGCCCCTGTTTTCTTTGGGATTGTACCATGGCTTTTCACTTCTTTTAAGGGTCTGCACATACTGTTCTCAGCAGCTACTGGTCCCAGCAACTGGGGAAGAAAACCATGCACGGTAGGACAGCTTGTTTTCAAATTTTAAAACATTTGCTTAACTTGAAGCTAGTATTTCTTCTCATATGTACTATCCACTTGAAGATGTAATAAAATGTTAACTATCACCCATGTGAAAATGAGAGGTTTCAAATTCCTTCCCCCTGAACCTTCTGCTCAAAACATCCTCCACCCCAAACATCTTCCACCTCTGTCTCTCCCAACACAAGGACACACTTCTAATACAGTAAGTACAGTAAGTGTTTGTTGAATAAAGTTAACTAGCTGTATAACTTTGACCCAGAAATGTTATTTATAATGTGACAAGTTGAGACTGGATGATTACCAAGGTTCCTTACTGCCATTGCTAGTTATGAGATTAAATCAAACAAACTGCTTTGGAACCAAGTCTCCTAGTGATTTACATGTTGCCTGAGGCAGAGAAAATAAATTGCAGCCAGTGGAATTTACACAGCTAGTACTACATAGCTAGTACACAATCAGAGTAGGAGTTTGACTTTAAAGGATGGAGGTTCTTACTTAGTGGGATGGTTAAGCCTCTGTGACACTGATTTGGGAATAGCACGGTGACTGTTCTCTTTCTTTGGTGAGCCTAATTACTCCTCTGACCTTAGGAAGCCTGAGGCTGTGCCTCATGGTTGCCTGACAAGTGTGTTTGCTTGCTAACCACAATGAGTAAAGAACTCCCTTTATCCTATTCAGACCGCGGAAGGTGGGGCCTTTTCAGAAGGGCCAAGAGCACCCCTCTTTATCTTCTTAGACTTTTAGTCCTAGCCTCTGTCTTTTCACATGTGCTTGCCTTCTAGACAGAGCCACGGAGGATGCTTTATGGGCGGGGTATGTCTGGGGCATTACAGGAAGTAATAGAGGAAGTGGCTCAGGAAGGAAAGCTGTAGAGCTGTGTATTTTGTGGATCAAATTGCGTCTGTGGTCTCAGTCCTCAGGAGAGTGGGGTGGGCTGGGCAATACCATGCACAGATGAAGGAATGCATTCTATTTAAAAAAATTTTTAAGATTAATTGATTTTTATTAAGGTAACATTGATTTATAACATTATATAAGTTTCACATGTACATTGTATTCCTGCTTCTATATACCCTACAACGTGCTTACCACCAAAAATTTATTTTCCATCTTTCACCGTACAGTTGATCCCCTTTACCCATTTTGATCTCCCCGCCCCTCCCGGACCCTTCGCCTCTGGCAACCACCCTCTGTTCTCTGTGTCTATGTATTTGTGTTTGGTTTGTTCATTTTGTTTCTGTTTATTTGAAGGAATGTGTTCTTTAAACTGACCTGGGAGGATTCTAGAGCTTGTAATACGTGGTCTCTCACTATGTCATGTTAATTAAAAAGGGTGAAAATGATCTTAATTTGTGACTCGTTTTATGTTTTCTTTAGCCTTTCAGTGTTCCAGCCGGGGAGGAGAATTGAAGATTTCCCTGCGTCCTGATGGACGAGTTGACATCAAGGGACGTGCTGCTCTTGTTTTAGAGGGCACGCTGACGGCCTAGACGCGCTTGTGCGTGATGCTGCAATCTTGACTTACTATTTTCCACGTAGAAAGAAATGTAAGGGGCTGCTTTGAATAAAGTTTGCATAGTAGTCTACTTAACCCTCACCTTAGACATAGAACAACAAAGACATATTAATGGGAATTTAATAATACTTCCTGACTAATTAGCTAATGGAGTGTTGGCTCTACCTGTGAGTATATTTGAAATGTAAGTAACTAATAACGAAGAATAACGGTGTCACCTTTGATTATGAGCACCAATCACAAAATGAGGAACAAATTTATGAGGAGTAAGATCAAACCATTTAAACTTAGGTGTGAGTACCAGATAGACTATTTTGTAGCCATTGAAAAGACCCAATAACTATGAGGAAATATTAAAAAAAATTTCATGATACAATACCAAGAAAGAAAATCACAGTAGAGTATAAACTGTTAGCGACGTTATGCTGTGTCTGTGGAGAATACGAATTTATGTGGACAGAGATGGATCATGAAGATAGAAAAGTGAAAAGAGTTCACGTGTGGAGGGTAAGATTGGAGTAATTTTAATGTACCTAAAAAGTTATTTTCTTCATTGGAACACACTCATGTTTAATAACTAAAAATCAGGACATGTAACTAAATAACTAAAAAGCCCAGAATTTTAAAAAAAATGTATGTGTGATAGAGTGGTAGTAAAATTAAACATGAAAAGTAATATCTTGCCTCTTTCCAAGTTTTTTTTGGGGTGGGAATTCCCCTTGCTGTGGCTCCCATGTATTCTGCAAGTTAGGTGCCCAGCTGGGATCTGAATTCCCAGCCCATGTGTCAGATCTACTGCTCAGCAATCTGACGTGGTTGGTAAAAAGCAATTTGCTGTCTCCTGTGTATAAGACACTAGGCTAGAAGCTGGTGGGGTGGAGAGCTGGGGGCCAGGCTGCAAAGGAGATTAGAGGGGAAGCTTATAGAGCTCTCAAGGGACTCTAACTGGGAAAACCAGGCTCATCCTTTCATGAAAAGATAATGAGCACTTGCACTGGTCTGTGATTAGGGTCTACATATGGCAGACGCTGAATGCTATGGCATAGTCTGGGGAGTGTTGAAGGACAGGGCTTCGAAAGACTGGGGCATGAGCAAGGCTTCAGAGATGAATGCACATGGCATGTCTGGGTTTTGTCTAGAGTTTCTACATCTTGAAAGTAGTTAGGTTCTATGGGGGCTGAGAGAAATAAAATAAAGTAATTATTAAACTTACAATCCAGTTGAAGAGATAGCATGTAAACACAAGGATAGATAAATAATACTGTAAGCTATTTTTATTGTTGTTTTTTAAACTATTAAAACCTGTAGAAAGGACATAGGAATCATGGCGATTGTGAGTCATCCCCAGGGTATGAGAAAGGGAGAACTATGGTTCTCCAGGTGTGGTCCCTAGACAAGCAGCATCTGTGCCACCTGGGAGCTTGTTAGAAAAGCAAATTCTCAGGCCCCATCCCAGACCCACTGAATCAGAAGTTGTGGAGATAGAAACAGAAATCTGGTTTTTAACAAGCCTTCCAGGTGATCCTGGTGTACACTTAGGTTTGAGAACCTCTAGTATTCAGCCACTGTTTTCTTCCCTCCCAAGTGACAATTGCCTATGTAGCCCAATAACTTTAAATGTGCGTTATCTCAAAATCTTGACCATACCAATATACTTGCTGCTTAGTGCAGTTTAGGAGGAGCTGGGTTTTTTTTTTTTTCCTCTTAGTTTCCAGTTCTGTTCAGCATAGAAAAACTAGCTGTGCTCAGGTGGGAGCTGTTCAGTAAAATGTTGGTAATATACAGATTAATCAGCCATGATTTATTAATGATGAATTAATTACACCTGATTGTGCAGTTCTGCTAGCTAAATGGAGCTTTAAAGGAGTTATTTTATTAATCATCATGGTGCTAATTGCAGACACTTACAGAAGGATCACTAATTAAACATGCAACCATATGCAAAACAAGTTGGGCTGCTGAGACCTGCAAGAATAAGAAACCCTGATTTTTAGGGGAGCCAAAACATTTTATTTTATGCAATATTAGGGAGCTGGCTTGGCAATGTTAATCATTCACTGCAAGTTAATATTGTAATCTTTCCCAGCAGGGATTGATCCCTATATCAAAAAGTGTGTAGCACTCTAGTGAGATTCTAGTAAAGGGGAAGATCATTCAAGCCTATTTTCTCTTTTATACACATGCAAAATGGCTTTTGCTGAACAGAGACCATTGATTGATGGGATGGGACTTACAGCAGAGACAGTCAAAACCACAAACCAGTCCTTCGTGTCAGAGAGCATCAGGTGAGTGCGAGACTGAACTCTTGGAGACCATGAACACCCTGTGTATTGAGTCACAATAAGAGGAGTCACAGCCTTCTACTATTGGAGCAGAGAAAGAAATGAGACTGTCCAGCTGAAGGGGCATCAGGTAAACTCAAGGATAGCTAAAGAATGGGAAAATCGTTTTCAATTTTTAGCTCAAGATAGATTAAAGCCGTTTCCTGACTTTTTGTTGTTATGATTATTAGTTTGGAGTTATGCAGCATCATTGTGAATAGTCAAGGAGGTACTGGCCAGCTTCCTCCAAGGAAGCCAAGGTGGCCAGGTGCTACCTCTCTCTGCACTTCAGGGGGCAGGCATGCTACTCGGGCTCCGCCAAATCAGAAACCATCTCCTGGGAATGTGGATCCTGAACAAGGGAAGCAGTACTGTAGAGGTGGCTAGAGACCTATACTATAGAGATCCATACTATAGCTCATTCTAGCTTGTTCTAACATTATTAGCTGTTCCACCATTTAATCAATCCCCTCAGTCTCCTATTTTTTTTATTTTTATTTTTGGCTATGCCTCGCGGCATGCAATATCTTATTTCCCCGACCAGGGATCAAACCCGTGCCCCCTGCAGTGGAACCACGGAGTCTTAACCACTGGACCGCCAGGGAATTCCCCCCTCAGTCTCCTATTGAAGACCTTTGATTTTATTTCCTGATGCTTTACCATTAGAAGCTGTACTGCAGAGAGAAACTTTATTTTATTTTCTATGTCCTGGTACTTTTATTTCTTTAGGATAGACTTGAGAGAGAGAGAGATTTCTGGTTTGAATAATGTGTGTATTTTGGGAGACTTCCCTGGTAGTCCAGTGGTTAAGACTCCACGCTTCCAATGCAGGCGGCATGGGTTCGATCCCTGGTGGGGGAAATAAGATCTCACATGCCAAAAAAAAGAGGAATGTGTGTGTTTTTCATTTTAGTAGCTATTGTCAGATACCCTTCCAAAAGAGACTGTAGCTGTTCATGTTGCCAGAGCACTGTATCCTTTTCACCACAACTCACAAGCAGAATTTTGCTAATCTGATAAGTGATAGCTTAGTATTACTTACTTTGCATTTACCTGATTAGGAAAGTTAAACATCTTTTGTTACAGTAACTTGCTACTTATATTTTATCTTCTCTGAACTCTCTATTCATGTATTTTGCTTATTTTCGATTGCATTTTGTTACCAGTTTCTTTATTATGAACTTTTATCTGTCATAGGTGTGGAAATATTCTCCCCAATGTTTTGATGTATATTAAGGCAGTCATTATTATCCTTGTTTTATAGATGAGGAAAGTAATGCTCAGAAAGGAAATTGACTTGCTTAAGTTTACTCTGCTAGTGAGATGATTAGATCTGGATTCAAAACCAGGCTATGTGATTACAAATCTAGTGCCCTTGCTATACTTCAAGGAATATCCCTAGAGGGTTGCTTTGGTTACTGTCCTGTATAATGTTACCCCCAAATTTACAGGTATGCTTGGAGATTCTGTGGGTCCCCAGGAATTTGCACGGGACATATTGGGAAGGCTTGTTTCTACTCCACCTGGTGTCAGCCAGGGTGGTTCAAAGGCAGGGCTGGGAACATCAAAGGCTTGTTTACACACGTTTGGAGCCTGAGCTGGGGACACGGAAACAGCTGAGAGCTGGAACAGGAGGGCCTCCTTTTTTTTTTTTTTAATTTAATTTAATTTATTCATTTGGTTGTGCCGGGTCTTAGTTGCGGCTGGCAGGCTCCTTAGTTGTGGCTCGCTGGCTCCTTAGCTGCGGCACATATGCTCCTTAGTTGTGGCATGCAAACTCTTAGTTGCAGCAGGCATGTGGGATCTAGTTCCTTGATCAGGCCCCCTTCATGGGGAGTGCGGAATCTTTTTTTTTTTTTTTTTTTCCGGTACGCGGGCCTCTCACTGCTGTGGCCTCTCCCATTGCGGAGCACAGGCTCCGGACGCGCAGGCTCAGCAGCCATGGCTCACGGGCCCAGCCGCTCTGCGGCACGTGGGATCCTCCCGGACCAGGGCACGAACCCGCGTCCCCTGCATCAGCAGGCGGACCCTCAACCACTGCACCACCAGGGAAGCCCAGAGTGCGGAATCTTAACCACTGCGCCACCAGGGAAGTCCCCAGTTGGGCCTCCTTGAACACCTTTATCTCTACATAATCTCTCCACGTGATGTTTCAAGCATGGCGGGTTTAGGAGAGCTGGACCTCCTCCATGTAGGCTTGGCTCCCAAGGCCCCAAAAAAACCAAGTGGAAGCTGTCTCACCTTTTATGACTATACCAGGAAGTCACATGATTTTACTTCTGCCACATTCTATTGGTTGAGGCATTTATGAAGGTCTGTCCAGGCTCATGGGGCAGGGACACAAATCCCACCTCTTAATGGAGGATTGTTAATGTCACATTGTAATAAGAGCATATGAGATGGGGTATATTTGACTGCAGCAATCTTTGGAAAAATACGATCTACCACAAGAGTGTTTTGGGGAATTTCCCATATTCTCGGGAAATTGGAGACATAAATGGTTAGCAAGGACAAGAAATACCTCCACTTAAAAGAAGAAAACTTGGTGTTAACCCTGAATCTTTTTTTTTTTTTTAATAGAGGAACAACAACTATAGTCATTGAGCCATCATCAACAAACATATGGATGTGTTTATAGATCATCATCAAAAACTTATGAAAATGTTCTTAGCCTACTGGAGATACTTTCAATACTTTAAATACTTTAAAGGAACCAGAAACATTTAAGTGTCAGGTTTTATGGACTTTGTGGGCTCTCAAGCCTACTCTGCAAAGGAGATGGACCAGACTGGATCTGTTCCACACTCAGAGTGAAACAGTGTTCCTTGGCTTAGTCTTTACCTTCATCTGTTTGGGCTGCTATAACAAAAATACCATAGACTAGGTGGCTTATAAACAATAAACATTTATTTCTCATGGTTCTGGAAGGTAGCAGTCCAAGATCAAGGCAGTGGCAGATTTGATGTCTGGTGAGAGCCTGCCCTGGTTCATAGATGGCAATCTTCTTGTTGTGTCTTTTTTTTATAAGGGCACTAATCTGATTCATGAGGGCTCCACCCTCGTGACCTAAGCACTTTCCAAAGGCCCCACCTCCACGTACCATCACACTGGGGATTCAGTTTCAACATATGAATTTTGGGGACACACAAACTTTCAGTCTATGGCAGCCATTCTGGGGCAATGGCGGCCGTTCTTGGGGCAATGCCTTGTAGTTACTGTTTTCTGATGCTGCCAAATTCTTCCAGAGAGGCCAGAGTGGCCATTGTCGGGGATGAGTGTTTTGGTTCTTTTTTAATATTTATATATGTGGCTGCACCGGGTCTTAGTGGCCACACGCGGGATCTTCGTTTTGGCGTGTGGGATCTTTTTAGTTGCAGTATGCAGGCTCTTAGTTGCGGCATGTGGGATCTAGTTCCCTGACCAGGGATCAAGCCCAGGCCCCCTGCATTGGGAGCCCAGAGTCTTAACCACTGGGCCACCAGGGAAGTCCCGGGATGAGTGGTTTATGACTTTGAGCAAGAACGGTTGAGGTTATCACAATACCTTTGGGCCAGGTTATTTTAAGTTACAATAGACCGTTTGTGAATTTCATCAACCAACTGGAGGCTCTTCGTAGCTAAAGTCATGATTTCAGCAAAAAAGAAAAGAAGAGGTAAGTTAAAAGTGAACACCTGTTCTTCTAAAATTGCTCTACTGCAGGTACCAGCCCTAGAGAATTGACAGATGGTTTTGTGTTTCTAAGCCTGACCTTAGCAGCCCTTCATCAATCTTAAGCTGATTGATTCTCAAGAAAGAGGAGATTCTGGTTTCCCAGGGTACCCAAGACACCTTTGATTTAGTTACTACCTGAAGACCAATTAATTAGTCCACACTGGTTCTCTCAAGTTTTCCTAACAAAGCTAGGAAATCCTGGGCACAGCCTGACTGGGGAGGCTTTTTACTAGCTCATTAATTACTGTCACCCTAGACATGGATAATTCTAAAAGCAAGAAAAAACATCATTCTGCACTGGGGAAGATAGGTGATTTCCAAGGCCTGCAGCTATCTTGCATCGTGATTCCTGTAGCCAAGGGGCTCCCGTCTTTAAAAAACCTCCACCCATAGGACTGAAACTACCAACTTCTTTTCCCATTGCGTCTTAACTCATGGCTGCCAGGGGAGCTTGTCAAACATGAGAGAATCTGCCCCTTGACTATCAGGTACTTTTTAGTTTTTAAATTTAGCAGTGTTTACTTAAGTTATTTTTTATTTTTTTGCGGTACGCGGGCCTCTCACTGTCGTGGCGTCTCCCGTTGCGGAGCACAGGCTCTGGACGCGCAGACACAGCGGCCATGGCTCACGGGCCCAGGCGCTCCGCGACATGTGGGATCCTCCCGGGCCGGGGCACGAACCCGTGTCCCCTGCATCGGCAGGCGGACTCTCAACCACTGCGCCACCAGGAAAGCCCTACTTAAGTTATTTTTAAGTCAAATGGGATTGTACTGGTTTTTTATGACTGTATGCTTAGGCCACGCAGGCCACTCAAGGTGTCTGTTCTCTTGCTCTCTGTTCATCCCCTCGACCAGTGCCTGCTTCATCTATACCTACTCCCATGACTGACCTTCCTATGTATGTACTTGCCCCAGACCCCAGCTAGTAATTGTTCTGATCTTTAGATCTGAACATCTTTACCTGATAGCTTCTCAAAAGGGCGGTGAGGGGCGTGTCCTTCTGCTAGTTTCCCCGGTAACCAATGAGCCAACCTGATCTCTCTTCCTACCCTCCCCCCGCCCCGCCCCCCAGGAGCCAAGACTGCTGCCATTTTGTCCGCCAGCCACCGCACACTGTGCGGTCTTGCTCCAGACATGGAAGCTCCGCCATCCGTCAACCCATAGATGTCTCTGCTGCTGACTCCAGGCTTTCTTGAAGCTGGGCAAGTACAGGGCTTGCAAGCCTGCAGGGTGCAGCCCAACAATGACATAGAATTAATTCATAATCAACTCTCAGTTATCCTCTGGACGGATACCTGGGGATCTCACTCTTCTCACCCTCTCAGCTGGTTTCCCCTCTTCTGTCTCTTACCTGGACCCATTTCTCTCCTGGTCTCTCCTCAGTCTTTGCTCTTCATTCCAAGCTGGGGCCTTACTGGGAAGAGTCAGGGTGGGATGTGGGGGTGTGTTGTTAATGTGATAAGAAGTAATAGAACAGCATACTCATATGTTAACCAGTAGATGCTCTATGACTCTCCTCCTTTAAGAGGATAACCAAAAGTTGACTTTTGCTACTAAGAACTTCCTCCTCATGGTCAATGTTATTTCTTGGTAGTGTTAAAAGATAAACTGGGGGCTCCCCTGGTGGCGCAGTGGTTAAGAATCCGCCTGCCAATGCAGGGGACATGGGTTCGAGCCCTGGTCCGGGAAGATCCCACATGCCACGGAGCAACTAAGCCCGTGCACCACAACTACTAAGCTTGTGTTCTAGAGCCCGTGAGCCACAACTGCTGAGCCCGTGTGCCACAACTACTGAAGCCTGTGCGCCTAGAGCCCGTGCTCCGCAACAAGAGAAGCCACGGCAATGAGGAGCCCGCGCACTGCAACGAAGAGTAGCCCCCACTCGCCACAACTAGAGAAAGCCCACGTTCAGAAACGAAGACCCAATGCAGCCAAAAATAAATACATAAATTTATTAAAAAAAAAAAAGATAAACTGGGGCATATTTTAAAAATGTAAGAGTTTATTTGAGCAAACATCTATTCCAGTCAGGCAGTGCCAAACCAGAAGTGGTTAGGAGCACTTCACTGACAGGGCCTGGGACAAGACTTTATTATCGAGAAGACTTTGAAGCAGAGCAAGGAAATTATTTGATTGGCTAAGCTCAAACATCGTTTGGGAAAGCCTAGTTGGCTGTCTGTGATTGATTGTCCTTAGGTTTTGACTTTTTACCCTTGAGGCATTTATGGGCTTAGGTTTTGGTTTGCTTATGTAGCTAACTACGAGAACCACCTGAGTCTAACGACCTCCTTGTTTATTTATTTTTTTGTTTATTTTGAAAGGCCTCCTTGTTTAATTAACAGTATTGTACACATTAAAAAAATTGTTTTTATTGTGGACAATTTCAAGCATGCACAAAAACAAAGCAAATATTGATACTATAGTTACTACTCCTGGCTCCCCACCCCTTGCACCCATCATGCAGCTTCAACGTTTATCAACTCATAACCAATTAATTCTGTTTCATAGTTGACCCCCAAACCCAGGTGTTCTGTGCTCCGTGTTTGGGGTCACCTGAAACCCCATTTTCTCAGCTGAACATACGCAGGAGGCAACCCTGGGTACAGCAGACTCCTGCCGGTCTGTGTCTTCCACTCCATCCTGTGGACTGAGGCTTGAGAACACCTCGAGTGTCACATTCTATTATATTGATGGGGAAACTCAAGGAGTCCTGGTGGCAGGCTGGACAAAAGGACAGCTGTGCTGGGCTGCCCACAAATTAGGGCATCTTTGGAGGCTGTCCTCCAATTCCCAGTTAATTTTTAGGAGAGATTTAATTATGCCATCAACAGCCCTCACTTAAACAATCACACGCGCTCTGGCTGGGGGAGAAATGAGTGACTGACTAGATTTACATAACCATTTACCCTAATTAGAATGTCAAGAGTTGGTGGCAAAGAGGCCAAGTTGTTCTGTGACTTAGTATCATTTTAATTTAGTCCAATTTCCTATTATTGCAACTGTCTTCCTCTTTGCATCTCAGATCCTCTTCTAAACCATTTGTAGCAAAAACAGAATGGAAAGCAGAACAACTAATAATAACTCACTTGAGGGCTGAACTCCTGAAAAACTCTAAAGGTTTCTTTCCTTAATCCAAACCATGATTTTAGTTTTCATCTAAACTTATCATTGCGTGAACATTTAGATTTAGGTAATTTAGGCGGACACTTAGCTTTGAATCCAGAAGCCTCCGCTTTACGTGTTTGTGTGTGTGTGTGTGTTGTAAAAGTATTAGAACCATCTGCAGGTTGTCCCATGAGAAAAAACATTGTCTTTGAATAGTTACTTTTATTCCAATGTTTTAACACAAGGATTGGTGTGTAATAATAATAATTGTAAGATACACTCATTAATAGGTAATATTATTTTAAATAATGTGTAAAGCTTCTATGACACACGTTTTGAACTATAAGATTTGAAAACTAGAAACTATACAGAACGCCAGGTCTCAGGCATAGAACCACCCTGACCCATTAGAGACTGTTTAGGCACGCATCGGTGGTTTCTGGGTCTGGCTGTTTTTCCGCCCTCATTCCCTTTTAGCATCAGGAGGCCACCTATTTAATTAGTTGGGGGTGGGAGCGCCTGTAATCTCTTGGGGGTAGCTTTAGCCCCAGAGTTGGATAAGAGGGTGAATCCATCCTGGGGCGTGGCTGGCCTCTCCCCTGCAACATATGGGGAGCCCGCCACGCCTACAGCCCAAGTTCCAGCAGCAAGCAGGAGTGCAGTGGCCTTCCCTGCTGGGAACACTCCCTCCAAAGCCAAGGGCAGGTGGCGTCACTAGTAGAGGTCAAGCAATTCTTAGACCAAACAGCATCTGCTGAACTATGCCAATTGGAAATCAATGTCCCCTCCCTGGGTGGGTTTAATTTTCTGGTTGTTTGCACAAACTTACAGCTCCTAATGGGCAGGGCAGAGCTCAGAGCATCCTCCCAGGATTGCTCCAATGGAGTCTGATGTCTTCATTGCCCATCAATAAGCTAAATTAAAGAGTCTGTTTACTAGAGGCTAGTGTTGGAGCCTGGCTGTCAGGCCACTATTTATCCAAGACCTGGAGGTCTTGTGACAGGAAGGGGGAACCCTTCCAGGGCCCGAGAGTGGGCTACTGTCTAACACTCCGAAATGAATTGTCCAAGGAGACACGTGTGCTGACAACGAGAGACTTTATTGGGAAGGGGCACCTGGGCAGAGAGCAGCAGGGTAAGGGAACCCAGGAGAACTGCTCTGCCACATGGCTCACAGTCTCAGGGTTTATGGTAATGGGGTTAGTTTCCGGGTTGTCTCTGGCCAGTCATCTTGCTTGGCCCATAGTCTTGACTCAGGGTCCTTCCTGGTGGCACGAGCATCTCTCAGCCAAGATGGGCTCCAGAGCAAAGGACTCTGGGAGGTTGGTCGTCTCCTCCCTCTTTTGGCTCCTCCTGAATTCTCCTGGTTAGCTTTCGAGGCAGAGCCGTGTTCCTTATCAGGACCTCCTGATGTGAGACAACTCAGGCAAGTGGGCCTGGCCAAGGCCGGTGGTTTCGGTCAACAGTTCCCTAAAGGTCTGAACACAAATGCAGTACATGTAAGCCCCCAAAGCTTTACCACAGCCTGAGGGAGACATGTGGGTTCCTCTGCCTGTGACAATATTGAATCATTACCAATGTTCCGACTCCGATTTTATGGTGGTTAAGAGGTCATGTTCTGCAGTCAGACAAATCCAGTTTCCACCACTCACCAGCAGAAGGACCTTGGGGCAAGTTTCTTAACCTCTCTGGGCCTCACATTCCTCATCTGTAAAATGGGGATAATAATTGTACCCACCTCACTGGGCTGCTGAGAGGATGGAATAAGATAATATGGTGAAAGTGTTTAGTATAGTGTCTGGTACATGGATGTACTTTTAATACATCTTGGGCATTAAAAATGACAATAAGGATAATGATAATCCTGGCCAAATATGAACAAGATAGGCATGTTAAAATAGGCAGGAACAGAAGACTTGAGTGAGCAGTGCTGGTTTTAAAATCTTAAATTTTAACATTTTACCGTCAAACTCCACAGTCTTAAAGTTGTATGTGAATTCTTTAACTTGCTCATTTCTCCCTTGTTCTCATTCGTGAGACTTTCTTATTTTTCAACAAAGAGATAAAGATCCAGGCATAACACCGTATTTTGATTCACCCTGCGATGAATGGGTTGTTGCTTTAGAAGCGCTTCATGCCAGTCCCCAGTCCTGTTAGAACCAGAACTCCAGGGAACCCAGCAACAGCCATGGCCAGGACTTCTGTTGTGTTTCTCAGGTGGATCATTCCCAGGAGACAGTTAGATAAGATTCCCAGGAGAGATGTGGAGAGATCAAGATCAAGTGCTTACTCACATGGGAGAAAAACTTTTGTGTAACTGAGGATGGGGTTGCATTCTTCAGGGCCAGACACTCTGACGGTGCATGGGCCTGCCTGGCCACATGTACTCCAAGCTCTCCTCTCCTCCGTCAGAGGCAATTTTATTGCAATAGACAACAAAGGAACAGGGGTGAGGAGCCCTGCTTTTGAGTGGAGCTGGATGAGGAGAACAGAGGAGAGGAAGGGCCGTTTCTCCCAGATGAAGAGACGGCAGTGGTTGGCTGAGAACTGTGTTATAGCCAGAATCTCAGTTTCCATGAGATGCCTGATTACTTTTTTTCTTTATCTACAGTTTCTGCTGGATCCCCATCATTGGGGCAGGATGAAAGGGTCCCCCTTTCTCTAACAGACACAAACTGCAGTGGCTCCTAGCTCACAACCAGCCCCCAGTGACTATGTTACTGTTTCCTAGCCATAGCTAGAGATGCCTGACAAGCTGGCCAGTCCATTTCTCTCTCCCCAGTATTTGAAAACTTGACTGGAATAGACAAGCAAGTTGGAGCAGAGTCATCTCATGATAATGCTCCAGGGCCAAGAGCAATGGCAGCTAAGGTCCCAGGTCACCTTCATTCACGTCCTGCCAGAGAATGGGTTGTTTGTTTCCTTTGATTTAGTGAGCTACTCCTCATATCGTTCCATATCTCCTTTTTGCTTAAAGACTGGTTCCATTTTCTTTTTTTCTTCTGCAAGAACCTTAAGTGATGTTACCTACTGAAAACTTAAAAAAAAAAAAAGCAGAGAGGGATAAGTTTTGTACAGTAAGTTTGTGATGTTTGCAAGTGGTTTAATCCAAAATCTTTGGGTTCTCCAACCTTGAGAATATCATCATAACATAAAATTTCCCCCACAAAAGGCATCTTCAGCCACAAGAGCTATAAGGCTGCATGGAGATGCATGTGCCAGATGGTTAGCCAGCTGGATCTGTTCTTTGGCTAAGCGATTTACATCTATGTCTGGTAACCTGGGATTTAAATTTGTGCCTACACAAAATAACCAAGTGCACTTCCTCAAGTATATAGGTGACACTGTAGCGTTAATTTTGCAAGTGCTAAAATCTGTGAAAAAAAGGCCCCGGGCTCATCTAAGCTGCACAAACTTGTACAGCTAAGTACATTTTTAAAAAATGAATTATAACATTACCTTCAGTGATTAATTGAAACAGCCTTGGCTGTCCCAATCATCCAGTGAAGCAAGCCATGGGTTTCTTACAGTTATTAC